TGATGTTTATTAAGTAAAACAATTGAAACACCAACAGGTTTGCATTAGATGCAATCAATTTCTGTAGCCTTGCGTATTTGTTTTTGTTTCTTTTCTTTTTTTTTCTGGTAATTTAAATCCACTCAATGTCTTGTCGTCACGCCCTCGTCGAAAAAAGGAGGGAACAAAACACAAAAAAAAAAACATACACACAGAGATAAAATCACCTTCCATTTGGCTTTAATATTGTTGTTTTATCCAATTGGCGATTATTGTGTGTAATGTTTATTATCTGGTTTTTTATTACTTGCAATAATTTATTAATGTGCCACGGCAGCAGGCAATAATTCATTTGCTTTGTCATTTTCTTAGACCCATTTTTGTGGCTTGCGGCCCACAACTTGCTGATTTCAGTTCAATGGCAACAGACCCCTATGAAGAGCACTTAAGATCAAAAGTCTGCAAACATGAGATACTCATTTGTCTCATTTTTCTTCCCAAGGATGTAATCAGAAAACAAATAACTTTGATCGGCACACCACACATAATTCATGTTCACATTTTTGTTTCTCTTTTATTGCTTTTTTTTTATAGATAATCTGACATATTTCTATGATTCTTTCATAATAAATAAAAGATCGAATCTAACATAATTCGAAGAATCTTGAATTTTTGCAAAACATTTCTCAGCTGACTTGTATATTGTTTACCAACTTCTTTAGTAGGCACTTTCCTATCCCTTCCTTTTAGTCCAAATAAAATCATTTACTCTTTTCTCCATATTAATAACAAGTAGTGTGGCCATTAAGATTATGCTGGTCGGCGATTTGATAAGATACGTCCAAAATTCACTGAAGTGGACTCTTGAACACAGTTCCTATTTGGTAGCAATCAAGCAACGTATCTTTATGAATATTATGTGATAGTCAAAAGTTACTGAAGTAGACCAAGTTTGCTATAAACACTTATATAACTATCATAATTTATTTGAACTTATCAGTAATTATTCTCATAATGCTGTTGGAAATTACTTTTGTTCACTTTCTTCAAACTTAAGATAAAAATACATCAAAGTTAAATTTCTTAGAGTTTATGAGAGCACTTTAAATTTATATTTTCTTTTGATAACAATAAAGATAAACAATGGCTATGGTATATAATAAATATAACAACAAATTACAAATCAAGTATCTATCAAGTAACTTAAGTTTTAACTATTGCCGACACTATTAAAAGAAAAGCAAAAAACTAAAAGCCATCTATCATTTATTGTGATTCAGTTCAGTTCGGCGTAATAACATTAATACCTGATCGAGTCATAGAGTGAAATTTGATAAGTTCACTTTAAAAATAGAAACAGTTGCTATTTGCGTAGTTAAACTACTATCTGAAGGGTGTAAGCAACAAGTGCCAAGGGCAACAAGTCTTGCAAATTAGTATCATAATTTATTTACACTTGTAGTTTATTAATACACAAAATTACACAAAATAGTTGACAAATCTGAACTGTGCATTTCAACTCAAGTGCATTTTCCATTTTCCATTTCGATTTCCATTTCAGCACTTCAAGTTGAAAGCCACAAAACACAAAAAAAAAAACGGGTTGCCTGTGCCCCAAGTCGAGTTGGTTTCATTGAACTTGAGCTGCGTAATCTGAAAATGATTAATATATTTAGCATTCAAGCGCCGTTATGGATAGAGCTAGTAATGATGCGCTGTATTGCATTGGTTGGTTGATTGATTGATTGATTGACTGATTGATTGACTGTCACACACATTATCGGCACTTGTTGCTTGTTACTTGTTTGGCATTTCGCATTTGAACACTTTTGGCCAACTGACTCGCAAACTTGCAGCCGATTTGCAGTTGCAGTTTATTGTTGCTGCCACAGCAGCCACAATTTCGATTTGCATAAACAAATTGAGCTCAGGTAGTCGCTTTGCATACAATATGCAGAGCGCGAATTAAACAAATGTCCAATGCAAATAAACCATAAATTTTGGCTTATGCTAATTGCTAGCTTAGATTGCAATGCCTGTCAACAAGCTGATCTCGTTTGTTTTTGCTTTTGACTTTATTATCTCTCTTTTTTCGAGAATTATTTATGATTGTTACGAAATCAATTGGCAAAATATCCATGTTTTCCATCAGCTGTGGGAGTTCTTGCATTTCTGTTGTGGGTTTCTAATCATATTCAAACGACGCAGCCTTGCAAATATTTTGATCGCATTGTAATTTGACTGAAAGATATGTATTTATATTTATTATATATATTTATATTTATTTAAATAACAATAATAATATGTATACCTGATCGTTGTCTTCATTATTTAAATATATACATATTTATATTTAAGTACTTTAAGCTTTAATTGCTGTTGTTTTTGTTTCTGTTTCATTACCATAAAATAATAATTTTTGCCTTGCAAAATTCTTTATTTGACTGACAGAGTTATATCTTTATTTCTTTTTTTAACATCTTTAAATATTACTTATTAAAATAATATGTTTATTGTTACTCACAGTTTAGTCACTGTCTATTTTCAGCTCGGCAATTAGATAAAAATAAACACCTCGTCAAATCAAAATGAAATTGATAAGTAATTTTTATCGGAAAAAATGATTGACTGTGATTAATTATGTACTTCACATAGACTATTAATTCCACTAAGCCAACCAGTAGTTCACCTGACCCCAGTCCGCCCATTGTAAATGTTGCATCCGCCCCTTTGCAATCATTTTCTAATCAGATTTCACATGCTGAGCACGTTTCGCTGCACTCACCGATTTCTCTCTATATATATAGATATATATGTATATGGGATTGTAACTTAATATGTCCGTCATATGCCGAATGAATAGGAATGAAATGCAAGTCAAGCATTCTCTTTATTATTGTTGTTTAAACTGGCAACTGGCAACTCGCAACTCGCAACACGTTGCCAATTGTTTTACGATGCGGCTTAAGAAGCTGCACAGTTGGCGCTGTTTGCCAAATGTCGAGTTAACTGTTTGCCTGCTAACTGCTTGCCACAATGCTGCTTTTATTGCTTTGTACACACGTGCTGAGAGGGTATTATGATTTTGTGATTAACATTGCCACACATTGAAGCAGTTGGCACCAAAATAAAAGAATAGTTTTTCAATTAACAAATTCCCACAGTTCTTAATGAATGAAAGAACAAAGCTCTGAAGGCCATTCATCATCTAAAATAACAATGATTGATTTATTTTGAGCTCTGAATTGTTAATAGCGTTGCAAAGTGCATTAAAAAGAATAAAGAGTTAATTTTACGCTCTTCGGTTTGATAGCCCCTTAATCAGTTCTCTGAAAATATAAATTTAATTAACAATTAGTTCTCTTTGACCAGACTTAATAGCAGATATTAAATAACTATATCTGTCTGTTTCTATCCAAGTTAGTCAATCAGTTTTAAAACTGTCTTCATGAGGCTGGAAACATATCACACTTCTGCAGGCATTAGATCGTATCACCATATTATAAACCCAGCTAAATTCTCTATTTCTTTTCTTTAAGATTATATATGCCATAGTTAAATATGTTAGAAATAAACTGTGACCCATTTTTGCAAGTATATTTAAGCTTCGTCGCGTCAAATTCTTGTCTTATTTCTGTTTTTCACAATCCCACCTCCCCAAAGCAACTCGTTATCGTCTTGTCATGGGACTGGTCGCCGAGGCAACAGCAACAGCAACAACAATAACCATTACCACTCTGACAAGTCAAGGCGTGAGCAACTTGGAAGATAATTGGGGTATTAAGTGAAGTGTGCAAAGTCAGCGATAACATCGCTTATCTCTGAGCAGAGGTAGCCACAATCACACACACAGAAACACCTATAAACTTGAGATAATATGGCTACTAAAAGTGGGCAATCTGTGATAAGCATTTGCCACCTATTTACAAGCGGATTAGGGCCAATTTATGTACCTACGCCAAGAGAAGAATTAAATAAAGTCATGTATTGAGCAAGAGTACTTCACTAAATACAGGTATACAATAAATAAATAACAACGGGGAAACAATGTAAACTGAAACGAGCGCAAAATGCTGATTTCAATCATTTTTATCTTATTGCCAAAAAGTGCCGCTGAATACAAAACGCGATTTAGTCAAGCAGTTAACAAACTCAAAGTCGTGAATAAATCAGTTGTTTTAATATGCTAATTTATGTTCACTATTTGATTTGCTTCTCCAGCTCAAACATTGAGTAGTAATCTGCATAATAAGTTAACTTAAATAAAGCCTCTCATTTGAGTACTCATCAATTTATTTACATTGGCTGTTTGCAAATGGGGCGTCAATGCAACAATATTTTTTGTTTAAACAAATTAATTGGCACCTGCTGATTAGCATTGGGCTTAAATAAACAAAAACAACAACAATAAAAAGAAAAAACAACAATGTAAATATCATTTAAGCAAATGAGGAAATAATGCGCAGAGTGCGAATGAAGAAATTAATTAATCAAACAGTGTGAAATTATCAATGGGCTGTGAGTAATTGCAGTGTATGAATTTTCACACGACTTTGGAAATGCTTCGATTTTGTATATGTATATCATACGTAAATCAACTATATTTTTATCTATATATTACTTGTTATACACGATTTTCTAGAATGGTATTTATTGTACTCTGAAGACATTCAACAAAAAGGTTTATTTGTGCAAACGATTGAAGCATCTCTGATATCATTATATGTATTTTGATTCAATAATTCTTGATCAACATCTGTCTGTATTCAAATATGGTATATAATTGATCGTATGCAACACGCTGATTAAGTTGATTTTGGCTTGTAGCCTTATGTCAATATTTCGAAAGTGAATTTGTAAGATTATCTGATTGCTGATTGATTTTGATTGCCGATGCATGATTAATTCAATAATTAATTCGCATTTGGCATGCGTTGGTCGTCGTGTCTTTGATCAATCTACTGCTGATTATTAATAAATAAATATAAATGTATATTTTTGTGTCTCTATTTCCTTTGCAGCCATGACGAATTTCGTTGGCGTCGCCGACATCACGGAGAACAAGAAAATCTGGCGCATGCTGCTCGGCGAGTTGGTGGGCACATTTTTCTTGGTGTTCATTGGCGTTGGCAGCACTGCCACCGGAAGTGCCACAGTGCCACAGATAGCGTTCACCTTTGGCTTGACGGTGGCAACGCTGGCCCAGGTAACTAAACATATTCGTTCTATATGCCCCCAAGCGCACAAAGAAACTCCCAAAAGTGGAAAACCCCATCTCAAATAGACAATCTCAAAAATATTTTAAACTTCACTTGTTTCAATTTACTATTTACAAAAAAAAATTATAAAAGTAAAGCTTTTTAGCTGTAGTTTTAGTATGCTAGAATATTGATCCATTTATAAATCGTTTTCACTTTGCTAAAAATAAGGCAAGTCAGAAGTGATCAGCTTTTCTAAGGCACAGCACAAGTTTTGCTTGAAGTGTAGTCGCATTAACATTGAGATTGCCATCAAAAATTCAGTTTTCTGCTTAAGATTGGGCCAATAGCAATAGCAATAGCAATAGCAATACAGTTACGGCCTAAACAAATACCAAATATATGTGGCACTCTGGTCAATAGAAATAGCAAATCATGCGTTCAAGGACACGCCACCGCCGCGTTACACTTTCGGCCTGGCCAGGCCAGGCCAAAACTCATTCACAAGTCTCGCAAGTGGCAATTGCACTGCGCAGAGATTTGTTTTTGGGCAAGACATTGGCATTTAAAAAAACAGCCAAGCGACAAACTTCGTCGGGCTAACAACAAACGCATAAAAACGGCAATCGAATGCAGCTCAGTCGTCGCGTTGGCTGCGTGCGAATGTAATTTACAAAATTGACAGATTTACAGAGAGGTAAACACACACACACACACACGCACAACACACACTCAAATACAACTAAGCAGATACAGATACAGATACAGATTCAGATTCAGATTCAGCTGTGGTCATTAGCGCTGCACAACGCTGCGTATGAGTAACGCACTGAGTTGAAGTTTCTGAACGCGAATACGAATCCGAATACGAATGTGAATACGAATGTGAATGCGAATGTGAATAACAAATACGAATGTGAATAATAAATGCGCACTCGCACTGCAAAAGCGTCTGCGTCGGCAATTAACATTAATCAACACGCAACATATGCAATTAGATTATTATGCATTTAATTACGTTATGCCTTTTCATGTTGTTGCTTGTTGCTTATTTGTTGTTGTTGCTTATTTGTTGTTATTGTTGTTGTTTATTTGTTGTTATTGTTGTTGCTGTTGTTGTTGCTTTGCGAGCATTCTTAAACGTTGCTCGATTTTGAATTGAATTTATGACAGCATTAAGCCAAAACATTGCATCTCCCCAAGTGAAACTTAATGCGAGCTGATCTCTGTTGATCTCACTTCGAATATTATCAAATTCTTAATTATTTTATAGCCATAAAATATGTGCCTATAGCGTTTCGCAGTTGAAGGTTTGCAATCAATCACCGATCTTGGCCATAAGCAGTGCTAATTAACAACAAAAATATTGTCGAGTTTAGTATTGCATTTTTGTATTGGGTTTCATTGGTCGTCAAATCAATATATTAATATTCGTTTCAAAAGAATTCACATAAAACGACACAAGTTGAATACCATTTTTCAATCATGATGCAACAAGATGAATAGTTAAGTAAGTGGATGCTGATGAAATAGGACAAAAATAATTAAAACAAACAACTAAGTTTAACTAATTCAAAAGTGTCCATATTCGTATAGAACGTTACTCGATCAAAGTGAACTTGTTTTTCACAATATTTCTATTACTCTAGTATTTTCTACATTCATAAAGAATTCATTTCTTTCTAGTTGAAGTTAGTCCAAACTTTTATTTATGCAGACCAGTTTCAAATTACAACTCTTACCACTTTTTGGTTGCATGATAAAACGAAATTAAACTAATTGCACACTTAACTTAATTTAAAGTTAATATACAACTTTAGCTGGTTGTTGCTGGTTGGAGATGCAGCTGAGATCTCGTAATGAGATACTGTCACTTGTGCAGTGCTGTACTGCAACTATTGCAATATAATTGATTGCCACACGAGTGGTCTTTTGGGCAATGGACTCTAGGGATTTCGACACTTTCACCGCTTGGCGGCATCATCAGCCATTAGTAACAAATTAGTTTCGATTTGGCCAAGACGGCAAGTGAAACAGGTGGAAGATAGTTTCGAGTCACGTTCGTTTTTCGTTCGTTTTTCTTTTTTTTTGTATATACATATTTATGAAAACCGAGCAACAGATCGACAATTAGTTGCAGTTGCACTTGCAGCAATCATGTGTGGCACGAGACTTGCTGCCCAAACCAATTTGCGGTCATTTCTCAATATGACGTCAATTGCCCAAAAGGCTCGATTGCAACATGCTCATTCCCCATCCACATCTCCAGCTCCAGCTCCATCCCCATTCCATTCCCTCGTCGGCTGCTTAATGGAGCGTGCCACAAATGAGAAACGTGCCTGCTACGAGTCATTAAGATTAATTACGTCTGCAATCTTTGAAGGTGTAAATTTTCATATAACTAAAAACGAGCTATTAAAAATCTCAATAACAACATTTTCATAATTCTTTTTGCAAACAAAATTTAAAACAATATATAAATATTGCAGTTAGTGCCAGCTGAAGACATTGGAATAGTATTTTACAATTTTCAATTATTTTCCCAGAAAACTATTAATAATGTAGATCAAGAAAATTAAGAGCATTCCAGGGCAGATCTTGGGTACTGTTAACATTTAATTACAATACGCCTTACATACGACAGACAGACACACAGACAGACAGACAATTAGGTTAGGCAACAGTCTGAAGTTAATCTTAGATCTATTAAGCACCACTTGCCCCCTCTGTGAGGAGGCAATTGAATAAAGCTGTCAGAGAGGCAACAACTAAAGTGACATTTGTATGCAATTTGCATTGTTCCGCGTGAGACGAACGCTTGACAGGCAACTGCCAAAAGGAAGTGGGGCAAAAAGAAAATGCAAATGGCAATACTAACAACAATAATAATAATAATAATAATAATATTGGGTATCAAAGTACAACAATAGTGCACAACAACAGGCCGTCATAGAAATGCACACAGACACATGGCATGTTTGATGATACGCCATTTGATTTTAATCGTCCGATTATAAATTTTATATATTTGTATTGTATAAGCATGTGGCTTGTGGGGGAAAAGTCCAGAGTTGATTTTTATGCGGGCCATGCAACCTAAAGAAATAATCATAAATTTTCGAGTGCCGGCAATTGTTGAGCTTAATCAGATGCACGCCCGCCAATTAGAGGGGATTGGCTCTTTGATTTACGAGTATTATTTGTCAAAATCGCAATATGGAATAGAACATCTTTTTTTTTTGTTGGTATTTTTTGATTTGTTTTTGTCTTTGTGTGCTACTGCCAGACATTGAAAGGCCAGGCTCTGAAGTCAAAGTCGAAAAGGCCCCCAGTGCCAATCAAGGTGCAACATGCAAGATCAATAAAAAAAAACCCTACTCTGACTGTGTGTGTGTGTGTGACTTAATTATGCGAGCAACAGCAATAAGTCAATAGCAAAAACAACAACAATATTTCGCAGTTAAATTGTGCGTGCACCATTCACGTTTTTCAATTCAGAAATCAAACGATCCGCATAAAAAATAAAAATACTGCACTCAAATAAACTGAAATGGCAAAGACAACTAAATAGCCGCTTGCAAAGAAGACAAAAACAACACGTCGCTTTGGGGCAATGCTCGGCTTTTTGGTCTCAACGAACTTGAAACGCACCACAGCAACAATCACCAGCAGCAGCAACAACAACAACAACACTTGCAACAGCAACCGCATCGGGCAGTTGCAGAAAAGCAGAACGAAACAAACAAGTTAACATTCAATTTAACTAAAAACCCATAAAATATGATTTAAGCGCAAATGTCGCACAATCAACAAACAACAAGCAACAAGCAACAACAACAGCAACAACAGATTTGTTGCAGACATTCGTGCGCCGCCAATGCGCATGCGTAAGCCATACTCAATCCATGAGATACATATCTCTATCGAGTATCTTTTCTATGAAACTCAACGGGAAAGCCAATTCAGCAGAGATGCTAACAAAATTAAGACAGTTCTTAACTTGCTTCTATTAAGCAACGATCGATTTTGTTGTACCTTTATTTGTTTTATTATTTGTTATATCGGAAAACCCTAACAAGTGGTTTCAACTTTCCAGTGCCACAACTGACACCAACTTGGCAAAAAAAACATTTGATTTTTAGAACTCGGGGTTTTTTAGACTGCATTTAAATTAAATTATATTACTCGAATGTATTTGTCGAATTTAAAGGCAAAAAACGTGGTTGTTTTAATCATGGTTTGACGTCAAGAATAATAATAAAATTTAAATTTATTTTCATGTTTAAATGATCAACTGTCATAACTTTGATTGTAATCGGAATTTGATATCAACATTAATATGCATTCAAAATTATTGAAAAAGCTGATAAAAATATTCCAAAAAGTGTTCTTAAAATAGTTTTTTGCCAATTCTTATTCAATTCTTATTATGTAATTATGAAATTGTAGTGCAATCATTTCCATTTGATCGGTTAACTACCAAATTAGTTCGAGCATTGACCACAAGAGTCATAGTTTTAATAAAAAAAAAGTTTATTAAATATAATAATAATAAATAAATAATAAATAATATTACAACTTAATTGAAGTTGCTGACACGACGCTGACACATTAATTAATTGTGAATTCAATTTGCTTTTGCCTTGAGACTGCACTCTGAAAAGATACCAAAAGATATCAGTTTGTGGTATTAAAAGTTAAGGAAAGAGGTCTGCTCCTTTTGTGGATCCAACTCGCCCATTATTTCGATTTCAATGCCATCTTAAGTGACTCATCTAGGTCTATTCTCTATTCACACGCATGTTAAGATTAGTTAATGATGGGTTTTGTGTGCCTGTGCTGGCAACAAAATTTGATTAATACTCGTATCAAGTGACTCAGGCTCGAGTGTGCAATTAAAAAGTGTGCAACAAAGAGTAAACAAGCAAACTGCATTCTAAAAAAAAAAAAACAAAAACAAAAAACAAATCCAATCTGATCGATGTGGCAAAAAGCTATTGCTTTTGTGGGCCTAAAACTAACTGACGCCGTCATCGCTGTGTCTCTTGGATTAAAAGTGTGTAAGTGTGTGTGTGAGTGTGTGTGTGAGTGTGTGTGTGTGTGTGCCTGCGTGTGTGTGAGTGTGTGATCTTGATGATTAGGCGCAACTGACAGCGTATTATTCACACACAATCACTCTTGCCACAGTGCCACAACAAAAGCCACAATAACATGCGCATTTTACCATGAATGCATAATCTGATAGAAAAAACTAGAAAAACCCCGAAGTTTATATACCCTTACCGAGCGAAGTACTCTTGATCAGCTATATAGTTCATTGCAAATTTAGAAGACTTAAAATGATTGAGATTTATCAAATAATTTAGTCAGATATGCTGAAAATCAAATGAAAGTTTTTTATCCAAAAACTCGACTTCCAATTGATAGTTTATGTGATATAGTATCAGTATAGCACTCGTAGTTAATCAGTTTAATTAAATTACTCTGACAACAATATCAAATAGAGATGGGAGCCGGCCGACTTCGATTTATGTAAAGATATAATGTGTAGAAGAATATTCATATATCTATATATCTAAATCGATATATATATCTATATCAATCAGAGAAGTATCCTGTTTTATATAAAATGTATAATGCCCGCTGCGAGTGTTTAATAATAAGAATTGCAATGCGTACGGCAAATGTCAAGCAGCAGCCGCTTTTGAGTTCGTTGCCGGGCGTAACTCATAGATTGTAAGTGGTATCTAAAACAGTTTGTTGCTGCTGGCCTAGCTTGGCCTGAACTTGCTCTTTACGTCGTCGCTGTAATTAGCGCTATGGAGCAGTTAATGGCCAGTGGCCAATGGTTAGCACAGCCTCCAATCACCTGCAATTCGCCTCCATTCGCCTGCAGTTGTCGCAGTTTGCGCATTTATTATTAATTAAACACGAAACGCAGAAACGCAGACACCCGACATTGGCCATGTGTGCACTTGGCCAAAACCAAAATCAAAAAACAACAACAACAAAAACAAAAGCCCAAAACGCAAAATACAAAATCGCAAAATCCACCAGCGAATCGCATTCAAATCGAGCAATTGATATGGGGCTACATAGAAGCCTGCACATCGACCTTGGGAATAGGCAAGTTGTTTTTTATTTGATCTTTTTTGAAATGTGCGTTTTCATTCATAACATGAATGTGAGTGTGAGTGTGAGTGCTGGTATCGAGTGAATGAGTGTACTCACTCAACGCTCGAGTGGCAATTTGTTGTAGTTGATTTTTAATAATTTTGAATTCAGTTCTAAGTATGAAGGCACTTCAGCAGCGCATGACTCAACATAAAACGCAAAACTCACTTTTACTTTTAGTCGCACTCACACTTGAACTTTTGAATCTGTATCTGAATAGACACCGACATCGACATCGACATCGATCTGGAGATGCGAATTTTTGTATAGTCTTTGGCTTTGACTGGGGTCGAGTGCATCTCATGTCAAGCAAATTGCTTGCATCCGTTGCAACTTTGACTGTTTGACTATTTGACTGTTGCTGCGTTAACGACTCGACTCGTATTGAGTAATAGCCAAAATTGCAGACTCCGACTCCGAGGCAAAAGGGTAAACATTACCCAACCCAACCCAGATGTGAGACTGTCTCACTTGGCATCAACTGCTGTTCGAATGTGCTGCCAATTTGACATTTAGTGCCCTAAATTTCCAAACATTCCAATTGCATCCATATGTATTTTAACAAGTGCATAAAGGGCAAATGTATCATTGTATCTGAAAAAAGAAAACATTATAAACTCTGGAAGAATGTGAGTTCAAACTCTATTTTAGCCAACATTAAAACTTGAATGTTTTTTTGGTAAATATTCTAGAAATTAAGACAAATACACATTGGTCACATAAATTAAAAATTAAAAACCTTTTACTCAAAATGCATGCTTAAAATTCTGCTTATTAATTTACTTAGTTACATATTTATTTAACTCAATATTCATTAGTGATTTTTACATTTAGATTTTACACATTCTTTTTATATGCCAATTAAATGGCATTCATCATCTTTCAGTAGTAGAACAACATTTGCGAGCTTACGAGTACATTTAAAATTTAAGTGATTTAAATACGAGCTGAACTTGATTTCCAAGCAGCTTCATATTAATGACCCCATTTCAGATTAGCAATTCACTGAAATTGGCTATAAATAATTTGATTAGGGGAATTTCATTTACTTATTCGCTGGAATAGAGCATTTTCTGAACTTTTATTATCTCAATCTTGACGTGATATTTAATCCCCATTTCGTATTTGTGGCTATTTCACAGGGACTGGGTCACATCAGTGGCTGTCACATCAATCCGGCTGTGACGATCGGTTTCCTTATCGTTGGCGAGATGAGCATCCTGAAGGCGGCCTTCTACATAATCGTGCAATGTGTGGGCGCCATTGCTGGGGCAGCTGTCATTCGTGCTGCGCTCAGTGGCATGACTATCACCTCATTGGGCGTCTCATCATATGATGCCTCGCTCCAAGTGGGTCAGGTGGTGCTGATCGAGGCACTGATCACCTTTATTCTGGTGTTTGTCGTGAAGGCCGTGTCGGATGCAGGTCGTATGGATATCAAGGGATCGGCTCCGTTGGCCGTGGGCCTCTCAATTGCAGCTGGACATTTGTGTGCGGTAAGTGGAAGGGGCCAGTCGGATCAATTATAGAGATATAAATATAATTTTTATTTACTGATTTTGCAGATTCACCTCACTGGTGCCAGCATGAATCCGGCTCGCTCCTTTGGCCCCGCCGTTGTCCAGGGCATATGGACAGATCATTGGGTCTATTGGGTGGGTCCCATTGCTGGCGGTATTGTGGCCGCCCTCATCTACAGATTCATCTTTAAGGTGCGCAAGGGCGATGATGAGACCAGCTCGTATGATTTCTAAACGAATCCACCCCGGGATAATATAAAATCCTTGTTGTTGTATGTATGTGTAATGCTTATTCACATTCGTATTCGTCTCATTCGCAAAAGGTGTTGGCTAAAACTAAATGGGTGTGTGAATTAAATACGTTTTAGCCAAAACGAAAGCCGCACAATAATTTTATTGTACTATTTTTATTTGTTGAAGAATAAAAATTTGCTTTGCTTTTAGCAGTAGTACTAACACCTAAAATACATTGAATATTGTACTTATACTTTTGTAAGCTTAAGTTAAATTTAAATTCGCATTGTTTATTGAAAATGGCATTAAATAGTAGTAGATGCTGCACGAATTCATATCTCGAAACATGTAATAACAATGGGAAATGCAATTCTCTACATCCGATTCCATATTATTTAATATTAATTGTTATTGTCTACGGAATAATTATCGAGCACAAATAAAAACGTATTTGATATTTGATAAATGACAAATTGTATGTGTAATAAAAAATTAAAAAATATATACACCAAGTGTTTTTTTTTAAGTTTGTTTTGAGATATCAATGGGATGAACAAATTTGCTAGACTTATAGTCCTGGCACTGCAAAAATCCGTAGGGGTTTTGCTAAGTTAGAGCTATTTTATTAATGAGCAACTGTCCTCAGCGCAGCAGATTTTAATGTTCATCCTAAAAGTATGCATTACAATTTCTTAATTCGTCAAATATAGTTTGAAGGGCGCATTGTTTTCAGCCTGAAAGTATGCTACACATTTAATTCTCGAGTAGGCAGTAAATTTCATCATATCACATGATTATTTACTTATTGGTGACCTTAGCCTCGACATATTCTATATTTAACTTATGAGATCTTCATGTGCCCCATTTATATTGGTTAAAGCCCGAAATAATAAACAATTTAAATTCATTTCTTTCCATTTATTAAAGTATGTTTTCCCATTTATTGTAGAATTCTGTTATCTGCAAAGAAGAATTCTTAATAAATATATAGATAGTATATGAATGTATGAAATATAATTATTTTAAATACACGTATATTCGTATATACCATACCAGGCATTCAATGAAATGTAAATATCCCTAATTTAATGGATTTACGTGAAAATTGAAGTTCAATAGCAGTAACCAATTTGCATCGCTTGCACTCATTCATTCAACTGGATGTTTATTGAAAAGCAAAAGTTCTTTGCGTCACCCAACTTTTGCGGCTTTTGGGGCTTTTGCGGGTGCAGTTAGTAACAAAAAATATGACTAATTTATTAACTCCATTAAAAACAGCAATAAAAGCAAATACGTTACAAGGTAAGTCGCGCACGCGTGCTCATCCACCCGCAGTTCGAGTAATTTAAGCGGTACTCATTTGTGGGTTTCACTGCTGATAAGCCACTGTATTTCCCCCCGAGGGGCCCCGGCTCCTCGCACATCTCTTCTCGCTTGCAATTGTGGTTGTTATTCGTGGTTTGCTACACTTCGAGAAATGCACCTTATCTGTTGCCATTTAAGCGAGACGACACAGCGAGCATTGCGCTTTAAAAACATATTCGTGAACTGAGCAAGGCTTGGTGCTAGGCTGGGTGGTTGTCAGTGGTTCAGTCTGAAACTTGGGCAGCACACGAAAACAACGAACTCGTCGAAATGCAATCGACATTTAAGTTGAAATACATATGCCTGTTGTGGCTAACTTTGCTGCAAGTACAGGCACAAGATATTGTGCCTAATTTTCCTGAGGATTTTGACACAACAACAATTCCAACCATCGGCACCACCAGTGGACCTGCCACAGAGCTACCTGCGACAACAACCACAAGTGAGCCAGCCGTAGAACCATCTACAGATGCACCATCAACAACAACAACGACAACAATTGCGACAACCACTGAAGCAGAGGCAACAACAGAGTTGCCTTTAACCACAACACCAGCAACAACAACCACAGAAGCTGTGGCGAGCACCACTCCCAGACTGCCCTTATATCCGACCTATCCACCTGGCCCGATACCCACAAGGCCACCTGTACTACCGCCATATAGCACCACCACCAGCAACAGCATATCCTGGGATAATTCCGATGAGAGTGAGGAGCAGCTCTGCTATCTGCACGAGGAGGATGACTACAGACGGCTGCAATGGAGACACGGAAGTGAGTAGATTGAAATAGCGATGTCGAAGGTTAGACTTGATTACGCATTCATTTGAATTCATTTTTGTTTTCTTATTCATTTCGATTACGCAGTTTTTGGCCCGATGAATCTGAAAATCTGTTATCGTTGCTGTCGTTATGGATACAGTGGTTTTGCTGGCTGCAGAAGAGTGAAGGATGGACCCTGTAGAAATTCGGTCTACACCACCTGGAATAAATACTGGCAATTACATGTACCTTGTCGATATGGAAGTAATGCATTTTTCAGATAGTCTTGATTGACAAGTTTTCGTGCATTCTTCAATATGTAAAATTTTACTAAGTAAATAAGAAAGCGAAGGAAATCAATTTAAATGGGCATGTAGAGTAATGTACATATATTCCAGACAGAATTATGCATACAGAAATAAATATTCATTGATAAATATTGATTTTAATTTTACTGATTCTCCAAAATGACAGTTGTGCAAAAAAAGAAACACATTTTTCTTCCAGCTCACAGTAAAGGTTTTTAATGATTAACATTCAAGAATTTTCGGGATTGGAAAAAAAAAAATATCATTCAGAAAATATTACAAAAGGAGGGGCCAGAAATAATGAGTAAAATCCTTTGGCCTTTCGATACGAATAAAGCAATGAAAAGGACGAAGTTCAACAAAACAATTGATATTTATTTAGTTACTTTTCTTAAATCAGAGAATTAACAAAATCTCGGCCATGTCTCTGAAAATCCATAAATTTAGTTCGATAGGATTTATTCTGTTTGAAAATTTGCAACGATTTGGTTGGTTTAGATTGATTTTTCTAAAAAGTTATCGTCCTAATCCTGGCACAATAGATTTAATTATTCATCCCAAAAGTCTGCTTTAAAATATTCGAGTTTCTCAAGCGATTTTATTTTTGAGTGTTCACAATTTGTATTGCATTTATTCAAACTCAAAATTATTTGCTTTAAGCGCTGCTGGATAAACTAATGGAAGAAATATCACATCCATTTTAAATTAATGTGTATACAAATAATATCTGTGCCTTAAAATTCATATTTATTGATTAATAAAGCTTTGCACAAAGTCTGGAGCACAAAATTGAGAGAAAAGATCCACCCGCAGTTCGAGTAATTTAAGCGGTACTCATTTGTGGGTTTCACTGCTGATAAGCCACTGTATTTCCCCCCGAGGGGCCCCGGCTCCTCGCACATCTCTTCTCGCTTGCAATTGTTTTTGCTATTAGTGGTTTGCTACTTTTTCAAGAAATGCACCTTATCTGTTGCCATTTAACCGAGATGACACCGAGAGCATAGCGCTTAAAAAACATATTCGTGAATTGAGCAAGGCTTGGTGCTAGGCTGGTTGGTTGTCAGTGGTTCAGTCTGAAACTTGGGCAGCACACGAAAACAACGAACCCGTCGAAATGCAATCGACATTTAAGTTGAAATTCTTATGCCTGTTGTGGCTAACATTGCTGCAAGTACAGGCACAAGATATTGTGCCTGATTTTCCTGAGGATTTTGACACAACAACAATTCCAACCATCGGCACCACCAGTGGACCTGCCACAGAGCTACCTGCGACAACAACCACAAGTGAGCCAGCCGTAGAACCAACTACAGATGCACCATCAACAACAACAACGACACAAATTGTGACAACAACTGAAGCAGAGGCAACAATAGAGTTGCCTTTAACCACAACACCAGCAACAACAACCACAGAAGCTGTGGCGAGCACCACTCCCAGACTGCCCTTATATCCGACCTATCCACCTGGCCCGATACCCACAAGATCACCTGTTGTACCGCCATATAGCACCACCACCAGCAAGAGCATATCGTGGGACGATTCCGATGAGAGTGAGGAGCAGCTCTGCTATCTGCGCGTGAAGTATAAGAGGAGAGTGGTGCGTTTCAGCGGAAGTGAGTAGATTGAGATAGGGATGTCGAAGGTTAGACTGGATTACGCATTCATTTGAATTCTTTTTTTGTTTTGTTATTCATTTCGATTACGCAGCTTTTTCCCCGGTGTTTCTGAAAGTCTGTTATCGCTGCTGTCTTGGCTACGGTGAATTTGCTGGCTGCAACAAAGTGGAATATAGATCCTGTATAAATCGGATACAGACCAGGTTGAAAAAATCGGGAAAGTTTCCTTATCAAAGTGGCGAATATAATGAATTTATCGATGAGCGTTGATTGACAAGTTTTCGTGCATTCTTCAATTTGTAAAATTTTACTAAGTAAATAAGAAAGCGAAGGAAATCAATTTAAATGGGCATGTAGAGTAATGTACATATATTCCAGACAGAATTATGCATACAGAAATAAATATTCATTGATAAATATTGATTTTAATTTTACTGATTCTCCAAAATGACAGTTGTGCAAAAAAAAAAACACATTTCTCTTCCAGCTCACAGTAAAGGTTTTTAATGATTAACATTCAAGAATTTTCGGGATTCGAAAAAAAAAAAATATCATTCAAAAAAATATTACAAAAGGAGGGGCCAGAAGAAATGAGTAAAATCCTTTGGCCTTTCGATACGAATAAAGCAATGAAAAGGACGAAGTTCAACAAAACAATTGAAATTTATTTAGTAACTTTTCTTAAATCAGAAAATTAACAAAATCTCGGCCATGTCACTGAAAATCCATAAATTTAGTTCGATAGGATTTATTCTGTTTGAAAATTTGCAACGATTTGGTTGGTTTAGATTGATTTTTCTAAACAGTTATCGTCCTAGTCTTAACACAATAGATTTACTCATTCAGCCCTTTAAAGTATTTAAATTTCTCTCGAGTGTTCACAATTTGTATTGCATTTAAAAAACTCAAACTCAAAATTATTTGTTTTAAACTCAAAGATGCCCCGATAATGACAATACTATATACCCAATATGAAAGCATCCTAATTCAACAATCAGCTCATCTAAGTGATAAATATAACATTTAATAAATTAGAACATAAAATACATTAAAATCGAACTGCAAATATTAAAAAGCTGAAATTAAGTTTCAATTTACTTACAAAGATGGTTGCAATCCCTAGTCCAGCTTGTACACATTGCCCAGATTCAGGAAGCAATCTTTCAAGTGCTGCTGGCACTCACAGAAATCGGGAAATGGTGGCGCCAACACCTCGTACATGATCCGCAGTAGATCGACGAATTTGTTCAATGCCTTGGAGTATTCACCGGTGTCGTAGAGCCGCTTGGCTGTGCGTGTCATCATTTCGGTGTCCTGCATAACCTTGAGTCCTTTGAGTATGTTGGTCGTCTCGCCGCAGGTCACGCAGTTGATCATGAAATCATTGCAGGTGGGCGGCACCTCAATAATTGCCGCACAATTGTTGGGCGCGTCGCAACGGAATCGAATCAGATCCCGGGGCAACTCATCGAAGAGCGGCCAATTGTCCAGGCAAGCATCGCAATTGCACTCAAACCAGTACAGATCCTTCAGCCGTGCCTGGCGATCCTCACGCTTATCCTGCGTGTAGATGGGGCCATAATTCTCATTGATGGGCAGCCCAGCCTCGATGGGGCGCACACTATTAATGTGAATGGTGGTTCCACGGAAATAGCGCACCACGCCCGGATCACAGGAGTGATTGAAGAGCGCCAGAGTCGGATAAATGGCACCGCCAATAAAGATGGACTTCTCCCTGCCCTCCGAGCTGTACTTGTGCAGCTCTGCCACCTCGTGCGTATTGAACTGAATAAACTGCAAGCTGCGCAACAGCAAGGCGTTAATTGTCCTGATCTGATCCGGCTGAGGCTCAGTGCCAAAGTAGCCAGCCGATTGCAGGCATCGGGTGAGGAAGCGTGCCATCAGCACGTACTGAAAGAAATTCGACGCTGCTCGCTCCTTCTGATGACGCTCCAGGTGCGCCACACGCCGAAAGTCGTCCTTGGGCAGGCTGGAATAAATATACCAGATAATTGGTTACATTATTATTTCAATATGACATCATATTATCACCTTAATAGCTGCTCCAGCGACAGATCCTCGTCCAAGCTTGGCCTCAGCTGCAGAAAGTAATCCAACGGTTTGCTGGCAATAATCCTCAGCGCCATATGATTGTTAATGGAGGCACCCGAGCGCCAGATGATCGGCAAGATGCCACACTCATATTTATGATACTTGTCCGCCGATCGCTGCTGACACTGCTCCGAGCAGTAGATCACATCCGAGCAGCCGGGACAGGCAACGGGCACAACGGTTCTGAAACGACAATGGAGCAAGCAGTTAGTAAGCAGTTACTAACATTACAGGGATGCATATACAGGTAAATATGTAAAGCAAGCAGTGGATAAGCAGTTATGTTAACAGCATGCTGGTATAGATTGTATTTATAGATAGATATGCATATACTGATATCTAGTAAGCAGTGTATAAGCAGTCAATATTCATAAGTAAAGCAAGCAGTCATTTTAAGTGCATACAGGTATGAAATTAATAAATAGATAAATGATGTAATTAACAAGCAGTGTATAAGCAGTCATTAATGCATACAATATATGTGTTTATGGATATGTTCAGAAAAGTAGTTGAATTTAGTCCGAAATTGCTTAAATACCTTGTTTATATAAAACAATTGACTTGTCACGACTTTAATACATATGCTTATCACACTAATAAACATGTTTTGCTACATTTTTTATACCATACACAACCAATAACAACATTTTACATTGACTATATATTTATTTCTTCTTATTTATTTGCTCATCGGTAAGAACATTCACTTACCTCACAAAGCAATATTCGCAGTGGGTGTGCGCATATTTCTCGAGCAATACCGCCACATAGGGATGCTCGACGAGCAGCTCCTGCCCCACCTGAACATCGGCAGCGGCCCGAGCAAATCTGCCCTCCTGCGGATTCTGATCGATGCGAACCAGCGAGCTGACGAACTCCTTCTCATCCGGCAGGGCTTGTGCCTTTTCCTCATACTTGAAATTGGTTTTGGCCAACTTCTCCTGCCTGGCAGCTTGTTTTCCCGTACGCGGATCACGCTCCAGCATCTTGATCATGGTCATCGCATCCAGATGCAGCTTGGAGCGTCTGTCGGCGGGCAGCGTTGAGTCATCCATCGCAGTGATGCATTTCCTGCAAAAGTAAATCTATTTAGCCAGAGTTACAGCTGGAATCACGACAGTTTCACCCACTTGAAGGCACTGATTGTGCGCGGATAGTCCTTGAGGGCCACGTAACAGCGGGCTTGACGCTCGTACAGCTTGTAAACGAGATCCTTGGGATACTCCAGCTCCAGGGACCGTCTGATGTCCACCAAACACTCGCAGTACTTCTGCATGTGGTACAACGTCGCCGAGCGGTTCGCCAGCGCTATGGAGCGCTCCAGAACTGAAATACACGAAATGGATGTTTAAAGGACGATACACTTCGAAAAATAAATTGAATAAAAATTACGAAGCACGGAACGAACTAATTACATATAAATATAATAATTACTTTCTAAAAAGCAAAGATATTATATTTATCTGAGTATAGGAAACAAGTTTCTTAGTTTTACATATTTTCAAAAAGTAAGTTTATAAATATTTTAACTTAGGGAAGGCATTTCTACATCTCAGAAATGAATTTTAAATACTCGTTTCAGATTTTTCTCTGAGTGTACTTACCCTTGTCGTTGGGCAGTGCCACATAGCTCCTGCTGTACAGCAGCATGGCTTCGATCCATTTCTTCTGCTTGAACGAGACAGTTGCACGTTCCTTCAGCTCCGCTGATGCAGTTAGACTCTTGCCGTTGAACTCACGTTGCACTTGCAGCTCCGCATCGCCGTCACGCACCCAGCTCAGCTGATCGACGTAGGCCACGCGCTCGTCATCGTTGCCACATGTGGACAATTTGGCTATATCCGATTCGCAGGTGGCGCCACCCGCTGCCCGCAACTTCAGATAGTATTCGGCAAAGAAGCCTTTCTGCTGGCTAAGTGGCAATTTCATCGCGTCAATTATTTAACTGATCTTTAAATCTTAACAAATTGAAAATCTCAATTATGCAAGTGATGAAAATTGAAGATTCGCCTCTGTTGTGCCTTTGAATACTGCAGCCGCACTGAGCAGTAGGCTAAAAAAAATACAGTCAGAAAGAATACAACGTGTGGTATCCAGACAGACTTTTCGGGCCTTTTATTTTTAGATCAGAAAAAGCATGCTATTCAGAGCACCAGAGAGAAAGCAGAACTATTGCGATATAGAGATTAAAATTAAGAGAGAGGGAGAGAGAGAGAGAGGGAGAGAGAGCAGGAGAGAGGAACAACATTTTTGTTTACAAACAAATTTTCGAAATAGTTTTCAATACTCTTCTTCCCTTTGTTTGCCAAGCAGCCGGCAGAGGCGACAAAAGAGGAACAGAAACAGAAACCGCAACATGAAAACACAGTTAACCTAATTATATTTTTAGCTAAATTTAGCTGCAAAACAAAAAAAAAGGTCAATAATAAAGGTTGGCTTCTCGCTCCCTATATATGATGCCAGTTATTTGCCGCACGTGCACCATTCGCCTCTTTAGCTCAGTGGTAGAGCACTGGTCTTGTAAACCAGGGGTCGTGAGTTCAATCCTCACAGGAGGCAAACTTCGAAAATTACACTTTTTTTTTTGTTTTTATTTATTTTTCTTTAATTTCAAATATTTGTGACTGCAAACCGAACTTTTAAGTTTTAGGAAATGTTGACTTTTATATATTTTTGGGCTGATACAGAAGTGCTTCTATTTAGAATGTTTCACGCATGCGTTGAAGCAAATATGTTTACCAAGACGATCGATTTTTCTTTAAATATTAATTATATCGATTTCAATGCAATAAAACAGAACAATTTTCTCTTAGTAATATTAATTGGATAGTGCAAATGCAGCTCGAATAATTAACTAAATGTTTAATAGACACGTTGACTTTTTACTGCTGATTAAATTTAACTTCTTGTGAACTTTTTGATTATTTTGTTTATTATACTAAAAAATGTGTGTTGACAGTAATTTTATTAGTCATTTATTAAAGAGATTATTAATAAGCGTGACAAACCATAATCAGCAAATATACTCTGTTTTCAGTTTAATAACATATCCATAGGGTGATAGTGTCTCTCAATAAGTCCTTTTAAACAAAAATAATTCGATTCATTGATTTTTCGAGTGAGAATAGAGTTTAAAAATGTTGTAAGAGAATAAGCCAATCAAGCAAAAGGATTGCCTCCTGTGAGGATTGAACTCACGACCCCTGGTTTACAAGACCAGTGCTCTGCCACTGAGCTAAAGAGGCATGAGCAACGCGCCCCGCTAAAACCGATAACAAAGTCTGCGCTTCGTCGGCAGCCAGTCGTCGGCTGACGCAATTTCGTTGGCTTCGTGGGCTGTTTAAACAGTTGGCGGCAGCGTACAAGCAGCAGCTAAGTGCGAGGCGCAGTTGCTCATTAGAGCGCCGTAAGTAAGCCAATTTGCAGACGTGTTAATGCTATCAGTGATAAATGTTTGTTGTTGTTCTTCTACTTGTTTTTGTTGCTGCAATGCCCCAAGCCAGTCATTTTATCGAGCATCGTCAATTTGCCTTGAAAGTGGAAATGGAACCAACAGCTGTCGGAAAATTGCCTTGAAAGGTGGCTGCTTCTGCTCTCTTTCCATTCTCCGTCTGCGTTTGCTTTTTGCTTTTGTTCGACTAATTAAGACATGCGGGCTCTGGAAATGTTCCAAATTGTTGGCTATATATTTACACACTTACTGACTGCACTATAAGTCAGGCAATTTGTTATGGTAACTAAAAACACCGACTTCGGCTGAAGTATCTTTATCTGTTTCTGTGGCATGGGAAGGCAAACAGTTGCAGCTCGACTTTAATTTATCTCTGAAGCAGCCAATGCTGAAGATTCTAAGATTCTTATTACGATTATTTTTGTAAAATGGGAAATTGCTACTGATAATGTGAAAATAATCGGCTCATAACTTGCCATAACCAGAACTATTTCACAACTGAACTGATTTGGAAAGATTGTCATTTTATCCCTCATTATTTGACTTGTGGATTCAGACTACATTTAAAGTTAGAAGTTCGAAGTTCAAATTATACCCTGAAAAATGCTCAATATTTATCATTGCCATCAGTTTGTCAAGACTATATTTGTTCAGGCCCAAGCTGTAGAGTGTTGACACCTTTACTTATTTGGAGATTGTATTTCCTAATTTGAATTGCGTTTAACATGAAATTGCTTTGTTTTATGTTAACTGTACTCATAGATGGGGTTTGTGTAAAAAGCATATATTTCTAATGCATTCGTATGTATGTCTATATATATATGTATATAAGTTTGTTCATTATGATTCGTGTACAATGCACATATCAAATTACCCAAGCGACAGCCCTTTCGCTATTGAAGTCTGAAGTCTGAATGCGTTGCGTATGCAAATTTGCATGTCGCATAAAAGGTGAAATGCGTAAATTACAGTGTCAACATTACAACGCCCACTTTCCTTTTCTCTTTTTCTTATTTTGGGGTGGCATACCGCTGTGAAAATGCATTATGCACAACGGTAATGCGTTACCGAAACCGAGAACTTACCTCAAACGTTGCATAAGCTTTTCAAATGGGTCTCTTTCTGGCTCTGAATATAAATCTGAATCTGAATCAGAATCTGTGCTCGAGGCACAAGGATTTGTTGGATGATAATTTTTTGTAAGCTGTTGAATCGCTGGCGATGACTTTGGCATTGTAACCCTTTATTTTACAGAGTGTGCGGCAGTGTTGGAAAAGAGTTGCAGGGTGGCTATTGTCAGAGGAAGCAAACAGCAAACAGCAACTGGACAACTTGTCACAAGCGTCATCAATCAAAAAGGGGGCTGAAGGACTTAACGACCAACAGCTTGTAATCGGCCCGAATGAACGTTGCACTTACAACAAATCCGATCCGACAGCTGTCAACTTGCTGATCGCAGTACAGTCAGTTTGGCCACTCAAAGGATGCGCTCGGCTCTAATCAGTGTTGCGACTGCCGATTGAACAAGGCCATTATCAATAAGGTTGCCACTGCGCAGTAAACTAAACTGTCAATGCGAGTCAGTCGACAGTCGACAGTCCATTTGGCAACTATCTTTATGGCCTGTCATTCAGTCGCAAAATATTTATCACTCTCAGCAGTTGCCGCATCATCCACAGATGACACACACACACATCCTTCCCTCCTTTCTTGCCTCGAACTCTCCTTCCATTTGCCACCCCTAATTGTTGTGCATTGTGCGAGATACACGCGCAAAAAATATAGTTGCAACATTATTTGCACATTTATTAATCATATTTCTTTCAAATTGGCACAGCAGAATAATATTTTTATTTATTTAAAGGTGACTACAAATAGTCTACAATTTTTAAAAAGGGTTCTTATAAATAAAAATACAGAAATTAATTATTTAAAAGGCCAAAATCCAGCTAGAAATCTTAAATGAAAAATCAGTACAAATATGGGAGATAAAAAATAATATTAAAATATAAAATGTTACATTTTATCGATGGTATGCAACTTTTTATCAAGGAATTAATTTCAACATTCAAAAAACACTTTAATTGTTAAAGAAATCTTTAATTTTTATTAAGGAATATACAAAATAGGCTCATGTTTTTCGCAAAGTGTAGCCAGGATCTGTGTTTGTGAATGCATTTTGCATTGCAGTGTCATTTGCCGGACCCTGCCCAGAAGCCAGATACTCATGAATTGTGAATATTATATATATATAGTATAGTATATGCAAATTCATGTGGAATAAATGGACTTTACCTACCCGCCCATAAGAGCCCATTATTTGTGCACTCTCAAGTGAGCTGCTGCCAGTTAATTACAGTTTATTTCTGCGTTTTTTATTTGTTGCTCGATTGTGCAAAATACAAAAAATTCATTAAGCTTCCGTTTTGGTGAAAAAAAAAAGAAAAACAAAAAACAGTTTTGTTTGTTTGCTGTTTGCCCCTTTGTTGTGCAATATGCAATGTGCTTCCGCAATTCTCGGTTGCCCGTTGCAATTAAAAAAGTGCACTCCATTGTTGCAATGTTGCAAGCGATTCACGTCAACCTGAAGTGCACTCACACACGAGCACTCACTCATTCATTCATTCATTCATTCATTCGCTTTGACCAAGCCCACCAGACTCGATCACCGACAAAACGTCAAGAAATGCAATTAATGGCTATGGGCAACATATTTGTGGCTATTAACTGAGTTAAGCAGCTTGCCGTTAAGTGTAAAAATCAACTTGCAGCATAATTGAAACAATTTTCGTAATCTACAAAATGTCAGAGTTTTTTGTTATGGTTTTTGTTTTTGGTGGGTGTTTTCTGAGTTGTGTCATAAATAATTTATAATAATTTGGGTTGCCATTGTCTGACTAATCTGATAGAAACCAACACATTTTAGCATGTTGTACCAAAAGTTGTCGTTGTTGTCGTTGTTGGTGCTTCTTCAAATTGTACCCAAACGAGTTTTAGTTGAGTTCACGAAATGTTTGCCTCTAGCAATGCAAATTTAATTGCACCTCTTAATTAAATTTTAAACGATCTTTTAAATCCATTTGAGTTCAAGTTTGACACAGTGTTGACAATCTTTGCCTATTCAAATGCAACTTTTGACATTGAACCAACCAAAATCACAAACAATCACAACTCATTTCGATTATGTAAAGTAAAAAATATATACATTTTTATATTTATATTTATCTTATTTCTCTTAATATCTTTGCTTTGCATAGCCATGATTTAGAAACCGGTTCAATTTAGTTAACTGATTTTATTGATTTATAAGCGCCAACTCGAAATTAATTTAAATTTTACGTTTGCTGTATCTCTTTTCAGTATCTCGATTATTATTTAAACAAGCACTAAAAACATGATGTTGATTGGATGTTTTCCAGATCAGCTTAACACCTCCTCTCCACAGCCCAAGCATAACACCTGTTGTTAGTCAGCATCTTTTATTAATCTAGATGATCTGCATACTTAAAGCAGATTAAAACCATAAAGTAAAGATACAAAAAAATCAGAGTCTCATAAAAATAGATTTTAGCTCGCAGTCCGTTATG